CAGCTGCCAGGCGGGAGCTCGTGAGCGCCTCCGGTCGACACCACCCAGCTGGACCGGTCAACACCATGTGGCCCTCTTCACCCAATGGGTATCGACTGGACTGGTCGACCTGTTCCGAAGCGAACCCATCAGGTCGGAAGCGCCGGCGGTGAGCTATCCCTAGGACTGAGCTACACATCCCATCTACTGTAGAGGACCGGAGCAATGATGGAAGCCATAGAAGTTGGGTAGCCAGGACAAACACCCAAACCAGGATGCAAACGACTGAAAGGGCAGACATGTTACATGTTTGCATGTCGTTGGAAGACCCAGCAAAAAAAAACACATGTGAGCAGCATTGAGCACCCATCACTTGACTGTCCTGTTTGCATCCTGGAACCAGGGTGCCTTTCATCCACAACAACCAGCCGTGAACACGGCAGTATTTTGTGGGCAGGAATCGAAGATCCAATTCTTAGGAATCAAATAGAACCAGTGTTCCGGTCTATCCCTAGGGCTCCTGGCCCATCTCCTCAGGTTCGGTGGTTAGGCCCCCCCCTGCCACCCACCCCAACCATCTTCGAAACGGAGGTACGACTGATGGGCCTAGGGGTGATCTGAGTGATCTGTGTTTTTTGGAACTCCAACTTGCAGAGTTGCACGTGGGTGTGTATTTCGAAAGACCACTTCACCCAATGGGTAGACTGGTTCTTCCATGTTCCGGTTCCCGACCCCACAACGGTTGGAACGCCTGCAGCTCGGTCTGCAGTTCGTCGGAACGCTACACATCCAAATGGGTTTCCAGATCTCAGGACTCCTGAGATTGGAGTATCTTCAACCCTAAGGATCCGCACCCGAAACAAAACGCGGGTTTTGAGGGTACAAACCCTTGTTATAGAGGCTTCGACCCCTTCTAAGGAGGGTCCGTTCGGATCCTTAGGGAAGAACTTCGCATCGTATTTAAGGACCAGCAATCAGAAAAAGCCTCATGAATCTGTGGACAATTGAAGATTTTGAAGAGAACATGTGATCCAAGTTAGGTGTGGAGTCTCAGTCAGTCTCAGTACCTCGGAAAACTGGTCTTCCGATCTACCGATCGACCGACTGCTCGGGTCCATGTTCCATGAAGTTCGACGATCCTTGGCATGTCAACTCGTCAGTTGCATAAAGAGAAAACGTTGATTTTCCATCCACACTGCAGAAGTTCTAGACCGATACCCTCGATTCATCCATAGAACCACCCAATGTGAAACAAAAGTTCTGCACATTCGAAGAAAGAAGGAAGGATTTCAGGAAGTCTACTCTTGGACTGCCAGGGTTGATTCCATGCTGGATGGTGAAGCATTCATGATGCTTTCTGTTGAAGAAGATGATGTGGCCTTGGCTCAGCCGCCTCAGCCGGCTCAGGCGTCCACGTCCGACCGCTCGGTTTCCCCGTCCTCGATCTGGCGTCGTCGGTCCTGGCGCCGGTGTGATAGCCAAAAGAAGCATGAAGAATCCGTAGCATCCTTGAAAAAGGTTGAGGGTTTAGGGTACATGTTAGCATGGTCCATAGTCCATATAGCCAAAGAGTCCGCCAAAAAATGTTCCTTTTGGGGATATGTCTTAGCACATTTTAGGTCGATCGTGTCCCATCCTTGAACATGTTTATTTGGCACCAGTTACTCAGTTGTCATCATTTGAACGACTATTTTGAGTGGTAAGGTTTTACACTACAACACCAGATCAAGCAGTTCTTATATGGTCGAACGGACTTCCAGTACTGAAGACAGGATTCAAAGGATGGAACCCTAGGGCTCCCCCACATCGTTGTTGGGGTGGGGGCTAGAGAGGTCTGACTATTTCTGAGAATGTGGAGGAAATGAATCATTGGTGGAGTGTTTGTCCAAATACCACTCACGTACACCGAAAATTGCCTGGATCTTTAACATGCAGAACTTTGTGCCAAAACCTGACTGGTTTTAGACGATTTTAGAGCTGAAAAGTTTTGGGCCGGTTGGGGGGGGGGTAGGCTCATCTACCTGGATCTTCCAACGACATGCAACAATTTGGTGCCTTCCGCCTAACACGGCTGGTTTTAGAGTTCAAAAGGCAAAGGTTTTGCATGTCGTTGGAAGATCCAGGTATGTACTTTTGGGGACTTTTGGGGAGTCCAGCCGACGATCTTTATTATCTGACGAAAGCCAAATGAAACGGAACTTTCTTGAAAAGGAAAACAAGTCCAACGGGACGTTGTACTGAAAAAGGCGGGTAATTAGGACTCGTCGATGAAGCTGGGTGTAAGATGATGTAAGAAGCCGGGGTGAACTCAACATGTTTGGTCAGGAGTCTGACAAACAAGTTCTGCTCTACGACAAGCTTTAAAGACTTATAGGATCTGCAGAGACAAAAGCTGAGTATTAGATAGGATCTTGTTTTGAAGCAAAACTCTAGGATGTCTTAGGCAGCTCGGGATACAGCTGAGGGGCAAGATTGATGAATACCTCCAGTCGACCAGTGAAAGTAACGTGGAAAGGGGTACAAGTATAAAGTACCGTATTTTGTTCGGGTCTTGTCTTGTCCCATTTTCTAAGGTACTTTGGAAGGTCCAGGAAGATGTAATGTGATATACTGATGTAACATGATGTAACCGGCAGGTAATACAATGATATGATATCTAATTTGTGCAACTGATATTGATTCACTGTTGGTCTGTTGCTGCCTTCATGGGAAGCATGGTGCAGGGGAATCTGTTCAACTTTGGCCCGTTCCATCCATACTGACCCTCATAAACCTATATCAGCTTGACATAGCTGTGCCGCTGGCCGCCCAGCACGGATGTCCAAAAAAACAGCGATACATATCTACTTGTGAAGGTTCTTGCGGCTGAAGGGCAATCAATGTGCGAAATAACTGTGGGACTACCAACTATCCGGGTGATGGGTATCTGGCAAAAGGTTGCATACTGTGCACAACGCGCACGACCACGACGCGCACAACGCGCAGAAAACCTATCAATACTTGTCAATACCCCACAATCATATGTCCCAATCGGTTTGGATCCACCTACTGATGGCAGTTCCAACGTGGGATCGATCGACAACCCGCCTCTGCCCGTCGCTCCAAATCAGCCAGCTCCCGTTCCCGCAACCTGCCCAGCACGACGCCAAGCCCGAAAGCACCGAACCACGTTCAACCACCCGGTGTTATAGCCATCCTGTCTGGGTCTCCTGGCAGGACTGCACTACCTAAGCATCTCCAGACAGGACACCATGGACACCTAGACAGAAAAATCCAGGAGTATTCCAGGAGTGTATGTTTGTTCTTTTGAACAGCGAGCTTTATTGCCATGAAGGTGGCTTGAAGTCCATAAAACCTTCTATTCCAACCACCATTTCATTTACTTATAGGTTTAAAGTACCTATCGAAAACACCACCATTTCCCGGGTCGTTTTCGATCTCCGTTTTGGGACGACCGGCTGGAAAGGTCCTTTTTGGGGACTCGAAACCCACCGAGCCGTCCGTGGAGCGGTCCGTGCCCCGGCAAACCTCCAAAAGCCCGAGACATGCACACATCTGCCGGCCATAAACACCCCCACCCGAAGCGTGACCATCGAATCGAAACGCCCAACGAAGACCGGAATGAAAACGGTTTTTTGTCCAGGGCCAACACCAAAACCGAGACCCAGCTGGAGAAGTCGTCGACGGCCATTTGTCTTCGCTCCACACGGTCTCGCTCCGCCGCTTGGTCGAACACCACGACGACGGATGAAGAAATGATGCTCGCGGAGCTGTGAGATTGGTAAACAGGTCCAAGACCGCTATCCGTCAGAAACACCGCTCTCCGCTGAACCCGCTGCTTGCGTGTGAAAAAGAAGTAAAAACATCAGATTCCGAGCAATTCTCCAGCCAGGGAAATCGGGTTGCAGTCAGACGCGATCACTGTTGCATGACATCTCCGCGGACACCACTCAAGGGAGAATATTAAGAGCTCAGGCAGCTGAATGCACAAACCCTGCTGAATTCCAGGTCGTTCGAAGACGTTATTCTCATCTATAGAATCTAGACATTCTGATTCTAATCATTCTGGTTCTGCCATAAGGATCCGCACCCTCAAAAAGAGGGTTTTGAGGGGCCCCAACCCCTTGTGAACTAGAGGGTTCGACCCCTTCTAAGGAGGGTCCGTTCGGATCCTTAGGGTGGATCAAACGTGGATCTATGTCTCCAGTGAACATCCCATGAAGGACGTTCAACCGCCCTCCTCGAAGCTTCTCTGGGGCCCTCAAAGTCCGTGCGTATACGTTGGACCCAAGCACATCTCAAAGATCCTCATGGAAGTTCAACCCGCGCACATGTCAAATGCCGTCTTGGAAACTTTTGCCTCTGCATAGCTCTCTTTTTTCCTGAAGAATTTCCTAGACCTCTCAACAAAGATCCAAATCCACGAATCCATGTTGATCACCAGTGGTGAAAAACCCTAACATATTAAGGAGTTCCACGCCGGGGTGTTTTTGTTTTCTTTTTTCAGACGAATCCAGGGGCCGTGGATGTGATGGTCGGTGCACCGACTTACTCCTTCCTCCGTTCGTCCGGCACCCCGAACATGGAACTGCTGCTTGCATGATGTGTCTTTTTATCCTCTGAGCTTGTGGATTGACCAGGAGTTACAGAAGGGGTGGTGTGGCTCGTCCCATCCAGGGCTTGTGGATGCTCTGGCCTCTGGCCACCCCTAACCTCCATGGATAGCACCCAACTCTATGGAACTGGGAAGGCACCCTTCTTGTCCATCACTTTGGCGAGACCTGTGACCTGGCTCTTTGGGGGACTCATTCAGATCCTGGCTCATCGACCTAGCTATCCATCAAGTCCAGCCAGAGCTTGGCATCAAGAGGACCACATGTTCGTCTTGGAGTTGCTTAAGGAACCGGAGGACATGAACAACATCTTTCCGGAGGATTCATCCAGTTGGCCAAACAACACAATCGCCCAAAAACCGGTCTATAAGAGCAACACAACATACTGCAGATCTTCATGGATTGAAACCGGTTCCATTGGCTCAGCTCCGAAATCAAAGGAAGATTCGACCCGTTTGGAGTCGTGTCGGATGAATCTGGCACGGCGCAGATTCGCGACGACATGTGCAGCTCACAAATGATTGAAAGCCTGATGATCCGCCTTCGATTCACAAGTGCGGTGGTGAGGCGGAGGGCAAATGGAGCCAACACTCGTGACGAAGTTCAGTTTGTTAAGTATGAACCATCCAACACGTGGCTCGGTCCCATGATTCCTCCAAAGAGTACCTGATTACCATGTGATGCAGGCTGAGCAAGTCCCGGACTATCCAAGACTATCCCTAGGCCTCCAAATACCTTCTGAGTGGAGGGTCCAAATGCCTTCTGAGCCAACCTGGACAAACCCCGTATAGACAAACCCCTCCATCTCCCGGGACCTCGCCGCATTGACGCACCGTTCGACCAACACTTCCATTGCTTCGCAACCCCAAAAAAACCTTTGGCCCGTCGCCGTTGGCCGTCCAAGGGGCCGATTGGAACTGGAGGATCACCTGAATGATGCCCATCAGCTCCTGAAAAGACGATACACGGCGGCCAGGATCAGCCGGGGATGAATGTGAAGATGAGAATATGATCATGGTCAATACATGTCAATCCCCCCAACAAACCGGCCTGGCCAGTTTGGTTTTGGAATGAAAACGATACGAAACTATGAGTGGGTTGAATCAAATACATTGTAAAAACAAAGAAAAACACACTTGAAACCACCAACGAATCCGGACCCCTGACCCGAGGATTCGGGTCCGGCCCCGGTCCAGCTGCTGAGCTGAGCTGCACCAGACTCAAGACCCAGACTGACCGCTGACCGCTTCGGTTCGATGAACCGAAAGAGCTTCGGTGAACCTCACGGGCACCCCAGTTCGATGCCTTAGACGGGGTCCGTAGAAACCATCGATATTCTATAGATATTCTAAGATCGTGATTGAATGGGTGGATCAGAGTCCGGACCTGTTGACAGAATCCATGATGTTCTCATGTCATCCAAAGTCCTCTCGACCCACCGAGGCCTCTCACTTCGCCCAAACAGATCTAGCACCTCATAGCTCGTCCCCACCTGAGAGGTCTACGGCTCAACTAGACCCACCCAGGATGCGCCAGGTGCTGGGCCCAAGCCGACGACTCAGGTGGAGCGCCGTCCTGTTGGGGTCCCCAGTAAAGGCCCACATCCTGCAGCACCGCCTGGCGCGGGTCCAGGTGTCAAAAGACCAGAACAATCCAACTAACAGAGGTTAAGTCACCGTAAATAGGACCCTACCAGGGTACCTATGGGATAGTCTATAGAGTTCCTTCAACCTCTGTTGGATTGGCACAGAATACTTGGAGTCTCCGTTCAAACCTGGGAAATGGGTACAATAAAGTACCTGTTCTTGTTCGGGTCATGTTCCATTTTCTATATATATAAGGTACGACCGGTCCGAAAACGGGTCCAGGTCGGCGTCTGCGGGCTCCCAGGAGCTTCCGGGAAAGAATCAAAGCTCTTCGCCAGGAAGCAGGGATACTACCCAATGGGGGCACAGCATGGCACAGCTGTAGAGCCCCTGAACATCCCAGTTCGTGTTGGGAAAAAATAAACAAAAAACAAAAAGACAAAACATTCTTCCGTGCTTGACTCGGAGGGCGGGCTATCAGGACAAACAGCACTGATATGTTACTCTTCATTGTGAGCTTAGAACTCTTTCACACAACTGCATTGGCATTGTAACAAGGAAGAAGGAAGGATCGCTTGGGGAGCTCCTTCGCAAAAGTCCTGTCATCTCAGAGTCTTGTCATCTCTTGTCTGACAATCCGCACCCTGGATCTTGTTGGCTTTGAGGGTCGTCAGGGATATGGAGGGATACTGCAGAGGATAGCGGCCAGGTAGCGACCCCCCCTCAGATATCCTCAGGTCCCACTGGCCTGTCGGGAGATCATTTGTGGAAAGACTTCTCTTGGGAGCTGCGAAAAGAGCAGGAAGCCCTTCCCAAGCACCTGGCAGCGACGAAGACTGTGAAACTGCTGCGGTTAGAGCAGTTCTCACGGAGATGGAAGTGAATCGAAAGAATCGACAAAACATTGAGAGGAGCTCTGGTCCTTAAAAGAATCTGAATATAAACAAAGCCAACAAAAACACCAATGATGGACCACTTTCTTCGACATACAGGAAGAACCTGCGGTCATCGAATGTCAGACTTTCCGAGTCGATTGAAACAAGAGTTACAATACCTTGGATTTGCATAATTACCCTAGGGCCCTAGGGATCCAAGTACCTTCTCAGAAGGTACTTGCAAACCTATAGCTACATAACAGTGTCTCCAATCACATCTAATCACCTTCTGAACCAAAACAATAATAACAAAACATGTCCCCAGGTTTGAGGATTTATTGCAGGAACCGGAGAAACAACTAATCACCCGAAGACCACAAGACCAGGATACCCAGGCACTCCGTGAAATCTAACCAGCCCGACTGGTCCCTCCAAGACCAGGGCTTGATGAGGGCGCCTGGTTGCTGCGGGTGTTGGCCAGTCAACAAGGCTAGCTGAATGATTAAGGGCGCACTCCACAGTGGCACTTACTGTGTCTTCACGTTCTTCATGGTTCTTCCCAAACACTCCTGGACCCCCCAATAAAAACAACTCGCTCCAGTCTAATGATTCCACCTTCGGCGCTGAGAGGGTCTGCTTCTCGAGGAGCTCAAAAGTTAAAGAGTTTTTCCCAACATGCAAATACCTCGGCAGCAAAGGGTCTATAGGTGCGATGCCGGCAGTGGATCCGGCATGGAGTGTTTGACACGAAGCACAAAAAAAACAAAAACGCATCATATGGAATACTATGGAAGTGGAATTTCCACTGCTGGCATTGTAGAGAATCGTCTTTCCAGGAGGTGATGTTCTCTACTTCCATGCTTGGTCCACACTCCATAAGTCAAAGATGGAACAATGGTTTCCTTGGATTTCCTTTGGCTCCCAGGAAGCCCGAGAAAAAGAAGCAACTCTTCCCCAGGTTTGGCAGTTCACTACGCAGTTCGAGAACAATAACACCCACCCAGGTTCATCCACGAAGGACTGGGGGACTGGAACGTGCTTCACTCTCACTGCCTGGACTGAAAACACGACTCTGCCTCCAAGAGGCAGTGTGACCAGCTCAAAATTCACAGGGAGGTTCTTCTTTGTGCAGTGCACACACCAAGAGAAAGAGATCATGGTTGCTACTACTATTTTATATATATATATATTATCATATTCTGTTTGTTGATTAAAACAGTGCGTATACGGACTGCCACACCCAAAAAACCTCGTGCGGAGCATGTAGACTTCTGAAACTGAGACACCCTTCTTCGGTGCCTCGGTCTAGACTCTGATAACATTCTGAGAATGCTATAAGCAGCTTATACGGGTCTAGACCGGGGCATAAACGATGAATGTTCGTGTATTTTCTCTTGTCTGGCCAAAACTCACTGGCTATAGAGCGGCTAGAGTATACCCTCAAATGTCCAACAACCATTGTCTGATTGGTATTTTTACCTAATAACCATTGTTTTACTAGGGGTGTTCAACTACAAAACAAGGTCAACACCATTCTTTTCATGGTCGAACACGGGTCGAACGGCGAACGGGCAATCACCGGATTCCAGCCGTTCAGGCTTCCGGTGTCCGTTCGGCGCTCGGCGCTCGCCTTGGACCCTTGGCGCTCGGCTTCATGGAGCCCAGAGGGCCGAGAGTCGACTGTCTGCATCGACGTCCCATGTGCATGACAGTCCAGACTCATGTGCATCCCATGAGTATTAAGGCACTTGTTACTAGTAGCTTCTTGTTACTACTAGTAAGGCACTTGTTCCTAGTAGCGATGCACTTGTTCCTAGTAGCTACTAGTGACTCTGTCAAATACCTCATGCACCTCAAATACGTGTTCATCATGGAGTTCACAAACAACATGGTCGTTGTAGAGGATCTCAATCTCATGGTCGTTCGAGGGTCCATTTGCAACTTCGATGTTACCACGGAGGTTGATGTACCAGCACCCGACGGTGATGTACCAGCACCCGACAGCGTTCTCAGGTCACAACTCTGGCACTTGACAGAGTCCCCAAAAACCACCAGAGAAGAGACCTGTGAAGTCGGGTGCTGCGTACATATCATCTCTTTATTCCAAAACCTTATCGAGTGTTCTCATGTGTTTCTATGCTCTCCATGTGCAACTTGCCACATCTCTTGATGTCTCTGCTAGATCTGCCTTTCCTCCGGCTTCACTCTCGCCATCCACCCGCCATCCTCTTGGTCGAGCTTCTGGACCCCTTGGGAGAAGTCGATCCTGCTAGATAGGAAGAAGCACACGGAGTGGGGTCGCAGGGTGAAGCCGTGCTTTAGATCCGCTGGGGATCGAGAAAAAAGGATGTACATCCTAGAGAATGGCATATGTATCCCCATTGGGGTGGTGGACCGATAAATCCATGTAAAACCTTGAATTCCATGCCCACCATTGATTTCAGAGCCTGAATCCAGAACAATACCGTTTGAAGGATTTTACACTACAAAAATCGAACTCTCTTGATGGGCGAACAGAAGGCTAAGGTACATATTCATAAATATTCCATACGTGGAGTCTGAGTATTGTGGAGTGTGTAAGGCCCTGTTAGTATAGATTGAGGCAGATTTTGTAAACAGTATGGTGGTGTCTTGTATTACAGTTCATCAATGGCTCCCTCCAACGCAGAATACACGCACCATCACTGAACAACATCCTGGTTAACCAATTTGAGGCCACAGTTTGGGGTCACTTAGCCTCTAGAAGGGTCAGATGCAGGCCCAAGAAACATCCATGGCCAAGATCGACCCCCCCCAACAAAAAATCAACTTTGGAGAACCGCAGGCCCTTCCAACTTACAGGGCGAGGGGAGAACAACATCGTGACCCTGCAAGCAAGAAACAACCGATCTATCAAAATGAGTGTGCCCAAGAATCCATGAGGGTCGGGGTCGCACCTTGTCCGTTTTCGCAGGGGTACGGACCCGGTTCCCAAACCCTATGTGTTGGGAACCGGGCCCAGATTCTTAAGAGGTAGCTCGAATGAAGACAAAGAGACCGAACTTCCCGGTGGTTCCGAAGGTTCGGGACATCCGGAGAATCACCAGTCTACCCGGACGATTGGGGGTCCTATGTTCAAGTACACACCCAAATGAGTGCTCAGACACAGGAAGACCAGGACAATCCTGTCTGGGTGTCTGGAGATCCCGGATAGTAGCGTAGGGTAGTCCAGCCAGGGCACCCAAACAGGATGGTATCAAAGAACTCTAAAAAAATACCTTTCACGAAGACCTGACCAGGGTCCTGTGCACCACGCTGGATAATGTTTGGCGAATGGTTCGCAAGACTACCCTAGGCTTATCTAGGATTCATGGTTTTGAACGAACCTCCATTATATAATATATCATATATCTAAAGATTTCACCCTACACAGCCAGGTCGTTCCCGAAATTCGTCGACTCCCAGCAGATCTCGAATCTCCTCAGGCGCTGCTCGTGATCTTCCAACTTCGCATGCAGGTGCGTCCCCTCGCGAAACATGCGAGAAACTGACAGAGCGTAGGTTGCTGGGAAGCAAACGGTGATCTTCTTTTGAACCTATAGTCCGCTACTTTAGGACAAGATGCAGCCATAAAGGATAGGAGAGGCAAGGATGCGGTAAACATACAGAGTTGCAGAGCCCTGACAATCCGAATATTTGCCTACTACCAGCACGCTCCAAGAGGAGTCTACAAATGGCCTCTTAGAGGTTAAGGGGTGTCCAAAACCCACCTGTCGGAAGGTGCTGGTATATAGGTGATTTTAAGATGCCTTAAGGGTCGATGTAGGTCAATCGTCCAGTCCCAAACAGCTCGTGTCTGGGAATACTTAGGGTATCCAATCTTGGCACCGGAACATTGATGGTGCCAGAGTTCAACAAAGGTCTAGAGTCCAGATTTTGGTTGCCCACCCATTGATTCAACATCCTTGCAGTATCCAGAAAAAAAACAAAGACACATTGCCTTACTATGCATCCGCTCCTTAGCCCTAAGCTCGCATCCTCTCATGTCCCAGGTGGCACTCACACCGAGTGCACCCTGCAGCCAGCCTGGGTGACGCAACGAATGGACGCCGTCTGCTCGACGGGTACTCGACCCGTTACACCCGAACCCGGCCATGTTGGCATTCAGCACTGATTTTAAAGACGCTCTTCCCCATGTAAGAAAGACTTGTTTTTTCTAGTAAGGGGTTGGGGAACTCCTTGTAGCTCCTCGGCTCCCTGTTGAATGGGGAATATGGATGCCCCTGGCTCCTTAGCTCCCTCCTGAGCAAAAGCTAGTTTTTTACATTGTAAGAAAAAAGTACATGTTGCGGCTGAAACTGCTTTGGGGGATGTAAGACCCCTCATTGCACGGGGGGGGGTTGGGAAAAGGCCTCAACCCGTACGAACAATGAGGTCAGTCAAACCAGGTTTAACGCCGGGCCCGCCGGGTCAGTCGACCATGCTTGCTGCGATCATCGGTTCCGGTAAGTCTGAAGCAGGACGGACATGTGGTCCAACTTGGTATTTGGTGGTCCCCCCAAAACCGCAATACACCTGGACCTCTAGGCTAGAACCATGCTGTTGAGCTGTTTCCAAATGTTTGGGTCTCTTGTTCATGGCACGGCACGGCAGCTGTTGAGCAACGTCTGAGCCTTCCCCTTCCCCGACGACCTCTTGGGACAGCCAAACTGGGCTCGCCTCATGGACCCCACGGACCGTTCGTAGCCCAAACCGTTGGGAGACGGACCCAAAAACATCCATGAAGCATACCACCCCAAAGGCTCAGACCCTCATAGCCACGGTTTTGACCCGGTTTTTGGGACCGGCCAGCCCCCGGAACGGATCGATGGGTGTTTCCTGGTGACAAGTTGGCAGGTTCACCACCTGGCTGTGGGTCATCTTGAGCCGAACCGAACGGAGGGTCCAGGAATGGGTTTTGATGGGTCCAAAGTAGCTGAGCTCATGTTCCGAGGTAACTGGCCGACTCGGAGGTTCTTTTCTTATTCCCTAGCACACCTGGCCCATATCCTCAGGTTCGGTGGTTAGACCCCTAGCACCCACCCCAACCACCTTCTAGGTATATAGGTAGTTGGAGCCCCAGGAATTCTTCTTCGCCCCCGCCCACAAAGCTCACGAATCTCTTCGCCTTGAGAGAGATGAGGTCAGCGAGCTTGGAGTTAAGAACATGAGAGAGTCCAGACACTCCGTGAGAGAACAAACAAGTTGCAGTGCCTTCAAACAAAAAATGGAAAACAAATGTCACCCCCAAAAAGATCAAACAGTATCTCTAGGGATCCAAGTACCTTCTGAGGTTCGGTACGACTGGATCCCTAGAATCTCATACTGACTCATTTGGGATTTGTTTGGAACGGCAGGGACAGACCCCCGGAAGATGAGGCGATGATGACCAATTGGATGTTTGCAACCGCAGTGACAGCACAAGCGTAACTTTAGCTCGCTTGGGTGAGACGAGTATAGATCTTAATAGATCTTAATAGACCCTCTCTTAAAAAAGAACACAAACAAACTATATAGACCCGGAAAAGAAAGGATTTTGGATGGCTAGATTCGATGATCTTCTAGTCCCAAATGGTGTTTCCCCCAACCCATCGAGGTCCAACCCATGAATTCCCACACCACGACCGACTCACCGACTCACCGTAGCACCGTCTCACCGTTTTCGTCGTCTCTCACCGCCCCGGGACGGAGTTTCCGGTGGGCCAAGCCGGGGCAATAGGGCTCCGAAGCCTGGTTGCCGGGAGCGGAGGGGAGGCGGGTCGGGGTTGGTTCCGGAGCTGTGCGTGGTCCAACTGGCTTCAAACGAACTGTCCCGGTCCTGCTTGGAGACCGGTCCGGCGACTCTTGATTTGTACGGTCCTTTCGAAGAAGACAATTCCTCTGCAGACAGGTCTAAACTTGGTCCTGATAACTTCATTGTGGTATTTCTGTATGAATAACTTCAGTAAGATGATGTCTTTGACCTGTGGGGAATCATTTACAAAATAGATCTTGCCTCTGTGCATGGTGGCTTTTGGGGCACCCTCACGCTCAGGAAATTTTGTGTGACAATCTTTGAGTAGACACAAGATGTGCAACCATGCCAAAATCCCGCTCCTAGTAGTTATGTCTCCTTCAATTTCGTTGGATGACCATGTTCCTCTACAAACAGTGGGGGGTTCCACTTCCATGTATGTTGCAGGGTAGATCTCTTGAACAGTTTGGACCTTGGTGAAACGAAACTGGACCCTGGTGAAACAATGCAAGCAGGAATCCAATCAAACTTCTCAGCCTTTGAACGTGTGTCCAGTGTGTCCCAAGTTTGCTACTGGCAAAAGGTGCCACACCTTTGTGTTTGTTTGGCGGTCCCTGGTGGCCTGGGTGCCATTGGGATCTTGAGAAACTTCTGCCATGGGATCTTGTTCAGAGTTGGTACCTAGAGATGAAATGGTTCAAACCAAGTGCTACACTTTCGGATATCTTCTTAGGCAAATCTGTCCAAGTTAGGCGAAGTGGAAAACATCCAGTTTCAAGAGGTGTAGCAAAAGTAGTATCAGTCTTCCAGCACTCCTGTTACTCTTTTCCCTGAACATGTGTTTATCCCTTAAGGATTTAAGATGTGTGCACCCATGATCATGCAGACATGTTTCGCAGAACTAACTAGTTCCGTTGGACCACCCAAACGAACAAAAAAATAGATCAGAATAACTCAATCTGCGTGGTCAACCAACACACGGAAAGCTTCAAGATGTTGTTCCAACAAATAAACCAGTCACCGACCTCACCTATTCATACCCTCGGCTTAAAACCAAATAGACAAAACGTTTCTTGGAATGTCTTACGGAACCTGAACACATCTTCCCCAGGTTTGGGGATTTACCCTGATTTACCCGCAAAAAAAACCACGAAACTCACCAACGTCTGCACTGCCAGTTCTCAGCTTTGGGAGAACTGGCCTCAGTTCCTCCGCGCTTCGGTCGCCTTGGTGTTCAGAAGCACTTGGTCGCCGGCACTAACTCGGACCTGGCACGGTGAGAAACGGAGGACACCACCGACGCACCGACAAGGGGGGCACAGGGAAGGGCCCAAGCTTGGGTACCATGCCTTGTGCCCTTATAAGCTTATAGGTGTATCATATCCGGATCCCATAGGCATATATACCACCAATACCATTTACACCGGTACCTTTTCTTTGAACCCATATATCCCATGACCAGCCCATGACCAGGGCCTATTCGTGGATGATGGGGCCTAGTTGCAGGCCTTGTCATTTCTATCGTTGACCGACTGTTGCACGTAATAGGACAGACCCAACATATGCCTATACCAGGGGCCGCAGGGGTGTCTAATAATCTAATTATCAACCAACCAAGCCAACATCGGACCACCGGAACATAGTAGGACCGATAGCAGGACGCGTAAACTGCCCGTATCGGCAATGAGTGGAATTGTCCGGCAGTGGAGGTTTATTCGAGTCTGGGGTCCTCGAAGAAAGAGAAAGAGAGAGGGAGGGAGGGAGGGAGAGAGGGAGAGAGAGAGAGAGACAGAGTGTCCAACATGTTAATATATATTTTG